TCGATGAAGTACATCCATCGTCCGATCGTGCTGCTCACCGTGTCCTGCGTCTTGTAGTAGGTCAATGGATTGTTGTCTGTGACCCATGTGAACCTACGACGCCCAGGGAGGAAGCGCCGCCAGCGCTTGAGAGCCATCACGAATGCGAGCAGCTCCTTCTTCCTTGCATCGTCAAGCGAGTTGATGGGAGGCACTTTGTGKCTGAAATACTCCACAGGGTGCCAGTCGTCGCCGTCGTGCCGTTCAGAGACAGCCCCAATGCCATAGCCGGAAGCGTCCGTAGTCACTCGCGTCGGCAGGGTGGGGGCATAGATGCTAAGGACGGGTGCCATGAGCATAGCCGTCTTAAGTGCTTGGAATGACCGGCGTGCGTCGTCATCGAATACGAATGGCACCTTTGGCGATTGTAACCTCGTTATAGGTGCAACAATCCTGGAGTATCCGGTGATGAATCGCTGATAGTAGCCCGCCAACCCCATGAATGAACGAACGTCCGTGGTGTTGGTGGGCTCGGGCCATACTCGTAGGGCCTCGATCTTGTCCGCAAGCGGACGGATGCCTTGCGGCGTCACATAGTGTCCCAAGTACTCCAGCTCCTGCTGTGCGAACTCGCACTTGTCGCGGTTTGCTTTGTACTTGGCCTGTCGTAGCCGCTCCAAAACGGTGTGCAGGTGTTCCACATGCTCGTCCAGACTCCGGCTGTAAACCAGAATGTCGTCGAGGTAGATACGTACGAAACTATCCAGCATGTGTCGGAACTCCGTCGTCATAGCCGCTTGGAAAGTGGTTGGGGCATTCGTAAGGCCAAATGGCATGACCAACCATTCGAAATGCCTATACCGTGTCTTGAACACGGTCTTGTAGCGATCCTCCTTGTGAATCTCGAGTTGGTGGTACCCTGACTTGAGATCCATCTTAGAGAAGAACTGGGCGCCGCCCAATCGCTCGAGAAGGTCGTCGATGCTTGGGAGAGGGCCGGCGTTCCTGATCGTCTGCGCCTTGAGCTTGCGATAATCGATGCACAACCACAGGTCCTTGTTCTTCTTCCGGACGAAGAGAACGGGAGCACCGTATGGCGATGAGCTAGGCCGAATCCAGCCTTTCTCCAGAAGGTCGTCGAGTTGTGCCCGAAGCACACTTAACTCTTCCTCGCTTATTCGGTAGATGCAACCGCACGGAGGTACGGCCCCGTCCTCGAGGATGATCTCGTGGCGGATGGGTCGATCCGGTACTACTCCGTGCGGGCCTTCGAACACGTCGCTGTAGGCGTCGAGAAGTTCGGTGATGCGTGGATCCAAAGATGAGTCCGTCGATGAAGCGTCATGGGGCGGGAGGGCGTGGAGAAAACACACCCCCATCTCCTCGATGTCATCTCTGATGATGGAAGCTCGCATGCTTGCGGCGGATACCACGTGGCAGCTGATCGAAGGATGAGGAAGAGGCACCGTGCATGGAACTAGTAATTCCGATCACGGATGTGAACGGTGCAGCGGTAGAAGTTCACCGGGTGGTCCTCGCTTCGCAGCCATGACATGCCCAAGATCATGTCGAATTTGGTGTCCAGAATGTCAAAGGACACCGCCTCACTTGCGTGAGGGGCAAAGTACACTGGGACGACGTCAATGCACCGGTCGATGGACTTGTGCGTATGACCGTCTGGCAGAGTGACTTGCGTAGGATGGGACTTCCTCTGGACACGTGGGCCAAGGCCGACGCGTACCATGAAGTTCTCGCTGATGTAGTTGCAAGATGCTCCGCAATCGATCAAGGCACTGCAGGTCGCCTCTCTAATTTGAATGCGTACGTATAGCAATGGTGCGTCGATGTCGTCGTACCGTTGCGTCTTGAACTCGCGGTCGATCTTCGCGATGTAAGCGTGAAGGTCGACAACCTCTGCTCCGGCGTCCATCAACGGAGCTGGTACTGCAGTGTGCAAGTAGTCCCGCAGTTGTGCCATGAGCACATTGCAATGCGGTTTCGACAATCGTCCGGTCGAGGGAACGGGCATCCACTGGAAGTCCGTGAACGTCAATGGGTCGAGCTCTACAAGTCTTGACCATGACGTCGAATCCCCGACGATAGATTGCGGCGAAGCTGTCGAATCGGCTGCCGATGGTGATGAAACCGTGCATGCGGTGGACTGTTGCACGTGGAGCGGTTGGTCCAGCGGTGGAACCAAGTGGACAGCATAATCCTCGTAAGTATACCGAGGACTTGCGACATTCGCATCCTCCCCAGATGTGCAGGAGGCCACTAGCAAGGCGGCCGAATCTGGCGGAGTAGAAGGTGGAGTCGCCTCACCTTCCGCGAAGCTCAGTTTCCCGAGCTGAGGCGGGGTCGCACATCCTCCTTGCCCTGATCTTGGCACAGGGATCTCTTGTGCTTGGTGCTGTTGCACCATTAGCAACTGTCCTAGCGGCCGCGGACCTTGTACTCCGCCTCGGTCAAGCCAAACTTGACCCATGGAAATTGTCTTGGCTATCCATTTCCGGCCTGCGATGCGGATTTCGCCTTCCCATTGTTGCGGGACTTGTTGTTGCTTCGCGGCTGGACAGCAGCGACCTGATCTCCGTCACTTGATGCTGGAGTGGCTGCTGAGTTATCTCCACTGTCCGACTGGACTGCAGCAAACTGCTGCTGTCGCGGACCAGTTCGTACGTTCTCCACATAGGTTGGCTGCCACGTGGACTTCTCGTGTGCAGCCGGCCTGTTAGTCTTGATGAGCTCTCTCGCCTTGTTGATGATCTCTGTGAAAGTGCTGTACTGCTCGCGATCACCAAGTGCGAGGCTGAGAGCGCGCATGACCTGTTGTAGAACTCACGCCGCAGATGTGGAAATGACAAGTCCAAATCGGGCGTCGCCACGATTTTCTGCCAATCCGTGAGCCAGTCACGTGTCGGTGTGCTCCCTTGAGCCATCGTGAAGATGGGGTTGACGACGAGTGTCGGGGCGTCGTCGACGATGAACCGCTTTTTCCATTCCTTTGTCATGTCTTCCCAGGAGACCTTCTTGTACAGGTCTGAAACCTGGATGCCGTGGATGGTTGCCATGTGGCTGAGCCAGATCTGACAACCTCCCTTGGTGTTGATGAACAGAGCACTGATGAACAGATGGTCAGGGACTTCGTGAATCCCCAACTCCGTTGTAAATCCTTGCCACCAGACGATCGGGTCTTGATGTGTGTAGTCATCAAATTTCTCGATCCGGAACGTCGGCATCTTGTATGGCCTCGCCGAGCTGTTGTTGTGGCTGTGGTCAGACTGCTGTTGCTGACTGATCTTAGTGTCCAGCAACTCGAACCGCTGGTTGATGGTGGCCGGCTCTGTGAAGACACTTATGTCTCCTAGCATTGCCACTACGTGGTCAACGCGTTCCTCCAGTTGGCGGCTAGAGGATGTACTGCTGGAAGCTCCAGCATCTGGTTCTGGTATAGCCTGTTCCAGGTCCAGTACACGAGCGTCCAGTGCCCGTGTGGCATCCTCGTGCTGAGTCTTCTGATTCCGCACGGCCCGCTGTAGGTTTGCCAGCTCGGACTGTAGGTGGTTACATGTGTAAACCAACCTGCTCACGAGCTTGGCCATGGACTCCCTATGATGCTCTTCCGGTGTTGGCTCGTCGCCGTTCGGTTCAAAGTGCCAGTACTTGAGTTTCTCGATGCTAGCAAAGCCTGGGCTTCCTTGCGGCGAGCCTGGGCATCTGCGTCTGCTTCGGCCTGTAGCCGCAACTTCTCTACTGTTGCCGCTTCATCAACCTGTAGCTGGGCAACCTTGACTGTCAGCTGGCGTTGTTCCTCAGCCTCGATTGCAGCGAGCTGAGCATGGACGCGCTTTTTGTAGTCGGCAATGGGCTCATTGGCCAGTTGGCCTGGCAGGTCCGTCATGTTGCTGATGTGGCACTACTGATGTGGCACTACTGACGTGGCACTTTGTTTGACGTGGCACTGTGTTTGATGTGGCACTGCTGATGTGGCACTGCTTACGTGGCACTGTCTGACGTGGCACTGCTGATGTGGCACTGCTTACGTTGCAGTGTGTGACGTGGCACTGCTGATGTGGCACTGCTTACGTGGCACTGTCTGACGTCATTGCTGATGTGGCACTGTGTCTGACATCACTGCTGATGTGGCACTGAGTTTGACTTGGCACTGTGACGTGGCACTGCTGATCTGGCACTGTGATGTGGCACTGCTGACGTGGCACTGTGACGTGGCACTGCTGACGTGGCACTGCTGACATGGCACTGCTGACGTGGCACTGCTGATCTGGCACTGTGACGTGGTGCTGGTGACGTGGCACTGTACTGAACCGGGATGCATGCAAGGGGTGGGTGGGAGGGAAAACGTAGGTTGGTAACCAACCCAACAGTACTTTCCTCCGGCCCTAATCAACAGATAAAATAAAAAATAAAAAATAAAAAGAGGACTACTTCCTTTTTCTTTTTTTGTATATATCTGTCGATTTATGATGTGTAGGATATGTCAGAAGAGTATTATGAACGAGATTTAGGCTAGGTGCTGCAAAGTTTTGGATTTTACAAACTGCGATCTTGAAATTTTTTTTTGCGAAATGGAGTAAAGATGCGATTTTCAGAAAAGAACGAAAATCCAGTTTCTGAGAATATAGCAACCCCCGAATATGCCTAACGCAATATTGGTAGGCTTCGCAAGATTTGGTTTTCAAAAAAAAATTTGCGAGATAGAATGGAAATGCGATTTTTAGAAAAAAATAATTTCTGTTTCCGAGAATATGACCACTTCTATCGTTATCCCAATATGCCTAGAGAACGAAAATACTAACTTCAAAAATTTCAGCTATGTATGCGAAATATTAGAGAAACGAATTGCTACTATCGGGAATTTTCAGACAAAACGAAATGCGATTTATCAAAAATTTTCAGATATTTGTCACGTAAAAACGAACTACTAATATCAGAAATTTTCAGATAGAACGAAAATGCGAATATCAGAAATTTCAGATAGTTGTTGCGAGAATTTTTTTTTCAGAGATTTGACTAAGTCCTACTTTTGTTACTAATGAGTGATCAATAGATCGCAAGATGGCTACTTGATTGAGCGGGTCCTCTG